GCTTGTTTTACATTGGGAGTGTTTCTTGGTTTTGTGTGCTTCGTTTTTTGATTGTTTCTGCTGCTGCTGGGGAGTCAAATGGGTTCTTGTTTGCTCCCAACAATTGGTATCAGAGCTTGATATCGAATTTGAGTTGGTATAGCTTAGATTTGAGGTGTTTTGAGCTTGGTCCAGACATCACACAACAGGTGTTCGACAAAAGTCATGTGAGAAATGAAAATTGTAAAACTTGGAAGAATGACGTCTAAAAGTAGTACGATCAAGATAGGGAAGTATGAGATAGCAAGGTTCAATTGGAAGAATGATTTTTCCTATTGGAGGATGCAAATGAAGAACTTGTTAATCTCACAAAAACTTCACAAAGCTTTGGCGGGTAAAGAAAAGAAGCATAAAGACATGTCCGATGAGGAATGAGAAGAGTTAGATCTCGAAGCACGAGCGTCGATCATTCTTTGCCTTGAGAGGGATGTAGCTTTCTTGGTAGATAGTGAAGTAAGTGCCGCGGGAGTGTGGTTGAAGTTAGAGGCAAACTTCATGACGAAGACTCTAACAAATCGGATTTACTTGAAATCCAAACTGTACACTTGCAAGATGGAGGAAGGTACACCTATCGGGGAACATATCAACAGGTTTGATAGGTGTATATCGGACTTGAAAGATATTGATGTAAAGGTGGAAGATGAAGATCAAGCTCTCATGTTACTTCTGTCATTGCCAAAATCGTATGAAAATTTAGTTCAAACCTTGATGCTCGTGGGTGACAATCTAACGATGGATGAGACTAGGACCTCACTCCTGGCGGATGATCTTCGAAAGATTGCAACTAGTGGCATGGCTACTAGTGGGAGCAAGGAGCAAGCACATGGGCTGTACACAAAGGGAAAGAAAAATGATCGAGGGAATGACAAAGGAGGAAAGGCTGGATCCGGTTCTAAACCTCTTGCAGAGAGAACATGTTTTAAGCGCGGTGAACTTGGACATTTCAAAGCGAAATGTCCAAACAAGAAAACTACTTGGAAGAAGAATAAGAACAAGAAGAGGAAGAAGGTTCAAGGGACACACGAGGCTGGTTATGCTTCTGAAGAAGGGGATGTCGGCGGTGATTGTTTCAATGCCACGTCTGATGAGGAAAACTCCGGTAAGTGGATACTTGATTCAGGGTGTTCTTATCATATGTCTCCAAATAAGAAGTGGTTTACTACCTATGAAGAGATAAATGGTGGAACTGTTATGATGGGAAATAATAATCTCTGCAAGACAGTGGGGGTTGGATCAATTAAAATCAGGATGCATGATGGAGTTATGAGAAACTTGAAAGAATCGAGACATGTTTCGGACTTGTGCAAGAACCTTATTTCTGTTGGTGCTCTAGACTCAGGTGGATGTGAAATTGTCACCTGGAATGGAGTCATGGAGGTTGTTCGAGATTCTTTAGTTGTGATGAAAGGTATCCGTCAAAGGAACTTGTACAAACTTTTGGGCACAACAGTGACAGGAAGTGCGGCAGTTGGAGCAGAGGAAACTGGAAACAACCCAGAGGACTACACCCAGTTATGGCACAGAAGACTCAGACACATGTCAGAGAAGGGCCTGCATCTGCTTTGCAAAGAAGGTTTGCTGAAGAACTTGAAGAAACCTTGCATGAACTTTTGTGAGCATTGCGTGTACGGAAAAGCATACCGAGTTCAGTTCAAGAACAGCAAATACAGGAGAAAAGACATCTTGGATTATGTGCACACGGATGTTTGGGGACCAGCTACGGTTACCTCCAAGGGAGGCTCCAGGTACTATGTCACATTTATAGATGATCACTCTCGGTATGCTTGGATTTACTTCTTGAAGCATAAAAATGAGGTGTTTGACACGTTCAAGAAGTGGAAAGCAATGGTCGAGAATAGAACATGAAAGAAACTAAAGACACTGAGATCTGATAACGGTACAAAGTATACAGATGGTGCTTTCAAAAGTTTCTGTGACCAGGAAGGAATTGCTAGGCACTAGACGGTTAGGAATACACCACAACAGAATGGGGTCGCAAAGAGACTGAATCGGACACTACGAGAGCGAGCGATGTCTATGCGGTCACATGTTGGGTTAGGTAGAGAATGGTGGGCAGAATCGATGTTTATAGCTCTTCATGTCATAAATCGATCTCCACATTCGAGCTTAGGTGGAGATACTCCATACAGACTATGGTCTGGGGAACATGCAGATTATGAAAGATTCAGAACTTTTGGATGCACAACATATTATCACGTCAGCGAGGGAAAGCTTGATGCAAGGGCCAAGAAGGCAATATTCTTGGGGTACGCAACAGGAGTGAAGGGTTATCGCCTGTGGTGCTTAGAAAATTCAAAGTTCATAATCAGCAGGGATGTTGTTTTGATGAGTATTCCATGGCAGCTAAGTTTAAAGCTACAATGCCTGGTGAAGATGAAAATGAGACGATCAAGTCTTAGGTGATCGAGATAGAACCTAAGGATCAATCAGGTTCTAATCGTGTTCAAGAGGCTGATCATGGAGACACTCAAGAGCAGAGTGATGAGGCGTCTGAGCACGAGGCTCTTGATCAAGAGAATGTAGAGGTATTACACCAACAGCGGTTCGCAGATGATCTGGCTTCCACTAGGCCAAAGCGAACATACAAGAGAGTTCAAAAGCTGGGGTCAGATCAGCCTTTGAAGCATTATGGGCAGGCAAACTTGGTCGGGTGCGCACTACCCGAGGATGATACAGTACCAGAATCATACCAGAAAGCTATTCGGGACAAGAATAGCGCAAGCTGGTTAGCTGCGAATGAAGAAGAGATGGAATCTTTTCGCAAGAATCAAGTGTTGGAAGGGGTTCTTCCATTGCCCAAAGGAAAAAAGGCTATTGGTTGTAAGTGGATCTACAAGAATAAAGAGGATAATTTTGAGCTCGGTGGGATCAGGTACAAGGCGAGGTTAGTAGCCAAGGGATATGCACAGAAGGAGGGAGTGGACTACAATGAGATTTTCTCTCCAGTAGTGAAGCACACTTCTATTCGGGTGTTGTTGAGTATTGTTGCTCATGGTGATCTTGAGCTGGAACAACTCGAAGTAAAAACCGCCTTCCTGCATGGAGAATTGGAGGAGGAGATTTATATGCGTCAACCTGAGGGCTATAAGGTTGAGGGTAAAGAGGATCATGTTTATCGCTTGAGGAAATCCATTTATGGATTGAAGCAATCTCCTCGACAGTGGTACAAACGGTTTGATTCTTTCATGCTGAAGCACGATTATTCCCGAAGTGAGTATGACTGTTGTGTCTATATTCGGAAACTTACTGGAAGTGAGTATATCTATCTTCTATTGTATGTGGATGACATGCTTATTGCTTCAAAGAGCAAGGTGGAGATAGATAAACTGAAATCTCAACTTGGAAAAGAGTTTGAGATGAAGGATTTAGGCGCTGCTAAGAAAATACTGGGTATGGAGATTAGAAGAGAGAAGACAAAAGGTGCATTGTTCCTGAGCCAGAAAAGCTACATTTAGCGAGTTGTGCATAGGTTTGGGGTGCAAGATGCAAAATCTGTAACAACTCCATTGGCTCCCCATTTCAGGCTCTCTGGAAAACAATTTTCCTCTACATCGGAAGAGAAAGGACAGATGGAGATAGTGCCCTATGCTAGTGTAGTTGGCAGTTTAATGTATGTAATGGTGTGTACGCGTCCAGATATTTCTCAGTCAGTCAGTGTTGTGAGCAGGTTTATGGCTAATCCTGGAAAGACTCACTGAGAAGCGGTGAAGTGGATCCTTAGGTACTCGAAAGGTACCAGTGACACGGGATTGTGTTTTGGTGGAGATACATGTCAGGTAAAAGGGTATGTGGACTCTGATTATGCAGTTGACGTAGACAGACACTGATCTACTACGAGATATGTGTTCAGTGTACACAGTGCCCCTGTTAGTTGGAGATCGATGTTGCAGGCTACAGTGGCTCTTTCTACTACTGAGGCGGAGTACATGGCCTTGGCAGAGGGGGTGAAGGAAGCTTTGTGGTTGTGGGGTCTTCTAGGTGACTTTGGGATTAAGCAGGATCGAGTGGACATGTGGTGTGATAGCCAAAGTGCAATTCATTTGGCTAAGAATCAGGTTCACCATGCTCGTACCAAGCATATAGATGTCAGGTATCATTTTGTGCGGGATGTCATAGAGGAAGGTGATATTTCTCTTATGAAAGTGCACACAAATGAGAACCCAGCAGATATGTTAACCAAGGTAGTGACAGGCAGCAAGTTTCAACACTGTTTGGACTTGCTACATATCAACCCGTGCTGATAATCTAACGGGGAAGCCCTTCGGGGCGGTGTTGGGGTGAGGTGGAGCTTCTCCCCGGGAATCGAACTACAAGGGCTTGATCCCTGGATTGGGTATGTAGGCAGCCATGGTGTAGTGGTGCAGCTAGTGCGAGTGTCCGTGATCGTGGGAAATGCTCGTATTCGTCCAACATTTGAGGTTTATCAAATGATGTACGAGGTGGAGAATTGTTATTGGGCAGGCCCATAGCAATTATTTTTAAACCCATCTCTTACTTAGTTTTCTTTTTTTTTCTTTTAACTTTGGCTGAGCAACTTAAGTGAAGAAAAAGAGAGAGAGAGAAGAAAAAAACAGAGAAAAAATCTGGGGGAAAAATACACGAGAGTTTTGAGAGCTAAATCATGAGGTATATCTAGAACGAATTGAGCGAGTGTTGGTGAGTGTACAAGCAAGAGGTTGATCTTGTCTTGGATAAATTCATGTATCCCGTTTGAGACTAGCTTGCGGGTTGTGCAAGTTGTTGGAGTTCTTAAATATACATATTGGTGTTGCTCCTGTGGACGTAGGCAATTGCCGAACCACGCAAATATCGTGTCCAATTTATCTTCCTGCTCATTATCTTGATTACCTTGTTGGTTATTTGCTTGTTTTACATTGAGAGTGTTTCTTGGTTCTGTGTGCTTTGTTTTTTGATTGTTTCTGCTGCTGCTGTTGGGGAGTCAAATGGGTTCTTGTTTGCTCCCAACATCATCAAATTCATCAATAATGGTTACAAGTCTAAATTTGATCATTTCGTAACTTATTACATATTTACAACTTTAGAAGATGGGGGAAAATGAAGGAATGCGTAGTATATAGTATATGAGGTATCATCACAAATTCACAATAATCATTCGCTTGGATTGAAGTAAGTCTTCTCTGTAAATCCGTGGAACATGTAGCTGTCAAGTATCAATCACTCCACGTCTCCACTTAATTAGCATCCAAGAAGCATGCGTAGATGATCGACGAACATAATTTTTTTCTAAAACAAATAAAACTAATAATTATATATATACGTTGTTATTATTATTATTAGTATTATCATATCATATGTACATACTAGGGGGTATTTTTTTAAAAAAGACTTGAGATCGATCCTGGGTGTAGTTAATATATATATATATATATATATATATATATATATATATATATATATATATATTCTGATCTAATGCATGCATATTAATATTATGAATGATGATATGAATGATCATCGATCACAGTGACCGGCCTCCGAACGTGATTTGATGGCAAATCCAGAAATGGCTCCATTCATCTTTCTTGCTTCTCCAATTCAAATACTACGGAGTATGTATAAGAACTCGATCCAATTCAATTTTACGAAATGAATCCCAATTTTATGAACACACATACTACATATCGACCTTCTCATCATCATCATCATCGCTATAGGTTTGGAACCGGAGTTTCTGATTCGGCCGGCTTCCGACCAAAGTGATGCATACCGCGGCAGCAGCGACTCCGAAGCTAAAAATAGCTCCGAATCCCCAGTTCCATATATTCAGCCCACCACCACCGCTCTCCGGATCACCCACATCGCCATCAACCGCCAGTCCCGGCGGTGGTGAAAAACAACTGTCGCCGTCCACGGTGGGAGAATCCATGTCCCACGGGAGTTCAACTAATTCCTTCATTTTCTTCAAGGAAACATATTGCGATAGTACTCTTTCCGCCTCTGCCCCTTTCTCCACGGTTGGAAGAGGCTCCGGCATATCTCTGTTATCATCGCAGCGTGTCTTCTGAGCTGGAAGAGGCGGGATGGATCTGTTCGTGGTTTCGACGAACTGATTGGATGAATTAGCCGGCGGAAGAGGACAGATGAAGTAGTCCGTCTCCAATACACTGTTAGGGACGCCGTCGAGCCTTCTGCAGATAAACTTCTCCCCCCCACCACCATCGCCATATTCATCATCATCTTCTTCTTCTTCATGGATTTGAAGAAATCCGTCATCTGACAAGACCTCCCACTCATCAAGATCCATTTTTACCCTAGCTAGCGTGGATCTGAGGGAATGGAGTATAACTTAAATGAAGGGCATTCTCCTTGTTCTTGGGACTTGGAATTGATTTTGACACGTAACAGAGCTTTATTATTGTTGAATGAATGACAAAGATGACAAGTGGGAGCACACCCCTTCCAGAAATTTCTGCTCATTTGTAATCCTGCACCCCTGCGCCATACTTATTATTTATAAGGAAAATTCCGAGAGTTTTGCATCACAAGCATATGCATGTATTCTACTCTCTCCGTTTCTAAAACAAGTTCCACATTTGACTTCACACATATTAAGAAAATAAATTTGACTTTACTGTGGAGTGCACTGTTTGGCACTGTTTGAACATTGTTTGGCACTGTTTGAACATTGTTTGACACTGTTTTGATGTAGATAATTTTCCAAATAAGGAAATGTTTGAAAGTGGAACTTAATTTTAAATCTTCCCGAAAAGGAAAGGTGGAACTTGTTTCAGAAACGGAGGGAGTACAAAATATCATAAAGAGGTTTTTTGAACGTACATAATTTCATTCGTTCTTCAACAAAATGGAAATCTTTCTTGATTAAAAAGAAAATAAAAGACTCATTTCATACACAAGGAGAGTATATGTTTTCTCCTTTTCATAAAATTCTTCCTTCATTTGAATTGAAATTTAAGAAAGTGAAAATGTATGATTGTGATTGAATAAAAAAGTAAATGAATGTTATCTACATAAAACTTTTATGGAGGAAGTATATATATGTAATATATATGACTACTAGTTAGTACAATATAGTGTTATGGTAACTTAAATTTAAAAATTAAACCTAAGTTACTATTATTTCAGTACTATTTTAGTCTCTAGTCATATATTTGTAAATATGTAATTATTTCTTGAAATATTTAAGAAAATATTACCCGAAATAGGACTAAAAATGTTTGAAAATTCCAAAATATGACTGCCATGTTTTTATTCCCAAAGTACGACTAATTACTGTCATGTTTTGGCAGTACCAAACTTCAAGCATGGCACTATTTTCTAAACTTGACAGTAATTACTCCTATTTTGGGAATAAAAAACATGACAGTCCTATTTTGGAATTTTCAAACTGTTTTAGTCCTATTTCGGGAAATTTCACAATATGTAATTTGATGGATGGTCTACCCGGGGGTATATATCCGAAGGGTTATTGCGGGAAGTAATCTAGAGAGAAGTCAGAGCAAGTAAATGAAAGTAGAGAGAGAGTATATTCAGTGTGTTATCACTTTTCAGCGTGGTTACAAATGGGGAAACGGGGTGCTATTTATAGTAGCAATAAATGCCGGGCAGGGACACGTGTCAAGCGCTCATTGGCCGAGGGGTCACCTCAACTGGTTGGCGCTGGCAGCCGCATGTGGCCGCATTTAATGCGGCTGTTGGACGGGACGTCTGTGCGGGGTACGGTGATCTGTACGCATGTGAGGTAGATATCTTGTCGAGTGAGATGCCTTCGGCTATAGAGCAGTAACCGAGGGCTCTCCCACCCGATGGCACCCTGGTGCCGAGGGCTCACAGTGCCGAGGGCTGCTGTTTTCGCCGTTTTCTCCCAGTTTCCTAATTTGCTTGAGAAACCCGCTCTGTGACAATTTGGAGCCTTCAGCCAGGGGTCCGAAGGCACCCCTGTGCGTTGTGCGGACTGCTTGGTACTCTGGGCGCTGTGATTTGGGCCTGTTGGGCCTGTTGGGCCTTTGCTGGAGTAGTAGGAGTCTGTGGGCCGGGGGTTCCCAGGCCATATACTCCATCAGGAGTCCCTCACTCCTTTTGCCGAAAGGTACTTGAGGGAAAAGGAGTAATTTGTGCTTGCCCTTTGATGTTGTCCTGTCGTGATCTCTGAAGTTGGTGAGGAGTTGTTGCTTTTATGTCCCTGCCGAAGGCAGTCCCTCAGTTACCCACATGTCGGGACTTGAGGGCTTGCTTTGTTGTTTGTTGGATTTTCACAGATTTTGTAATTTAATGATTTTCCCGAAGGGGTCCTCCAGTCCCCCACTCCTTGAGGCACTTGTAAAGTGGTGAAAAGGAGTAAAGCAGTTATGTTGCTGTTGTGGGCCGAAGGCTGACGCTTTTCGTTTCATTTTGGGGGGATGCCTCGTTAAAAACCTCATTAGGAAAAACCCTTTGGGAAAAAATCCTAATGAGGGAAAAAGAGTGCACCGAATTCCCCCAATGATGAATCGAAAATGTCAAACCTTGGTGAAAAATGGAGAATGACGGGAATGCCGAAGGCTCTCTCTTCTGAGGGCTCCTGTGTTGATTTGCCGAAGGCTTGCTGTTGATGTCCTGGTGGTGCCGAAGGGGAGCCCCTCAATCCAGGGATCGAGGGCCTGCCAGATGAGGGCAGCAGTGAAGTTGTTACCGGGGGGTCCACTGTTTGTTGATGAGTTGGTGATGAAGATACCCGAGGGCTCCCATTACCTGTGTGCCATGGGCCCTCCGTCAATGAGGCACTCCCCGGGGGCTACCCGGTTTTGCAGTGCTGAGGGGGAAACCCCGAGGGGTGCCCCTGATATGCAGCCCTGGGGGTCTGAAGGAGTGATCCCGAAGGCGTGTGTAATGTGCTGTGTGGGGCACAACCCGGGGGCACTTCTGGGTGAGTGCACCCGGAGGCAATCCTTGATGAAGTGGAGTGAAGTAGAAAACCCGGGGGCTTCCAGAATATAGCCGTTGGAAATATAGCCGTTGGAATATGTAACGACAGGAGATAGCCGTTGGGGGGGTGGCATACGTGGCGTGTGATGGCTGGCTGTTCGTGGGCGGCGTCACCGGTTGGGTGAAACGGCGGTGTGTAATGATGGCGGTCCGTCCGGAGGCCCGGAATCCAGGCCCAAGCCCGGATTCATCGCCTATAAATACCCCAAGGCTAGGCATTCCTCCGTGTGTGAAAAACTTGTTAGCGAAGCTCTGCCAATTTTTCTAGAGAGAGAAACAGCAGCCCCCGGTTGAATCCTCTGTTCTTAAGGTCAGTTCTCCAGTTACCCTTCACCTCTTAGCTACCTGTACTGCGCCCTTAGGCTAGGAGATAGAACATTTAGAAAACACTAGTTGTACGAGCCTTCGAACTAGAGCCAGAATGTCGTCCCAGAGTGATTCTCAAGATATCTCGGGGGCGCCCTCGGTGGAGGACGAAGTCCTCTCGGACGTGGAGTCCTCAAGTGCGGAGTCCTCGGTGGGACAGGATGCCGTCATTGCCCTGGAGTTGCAGAAAGCCCTCGCAGCTGAGGCGGAGGCCGAGGGCTTTGAGCAGGAATGTGAAGACGAAGAGTTGGCCATCGCCTGGCAAGCAACTGAAGAGGAGGCACAAAAGGAAAGCGAGAGGGTCACCGTTGCTGTGCTCCCCCCTCGGGGTGCCGGGGAGGCCAACACCTCTCGGCCGCTGAATGCGGTCCCCCTCCGGGTGGCCCCCGGAAAGAAGAGGGCCAAGGCCGCTGTTTCCAAGAAGAAGGGCAGCGTAGCAGATCAAGGGAAGCCCCTCGATATGCCCGAGGGGTACTCCTATCTCAACACCGCCGCATTGGAGATCAAGTCGAAGGTTGATGCGGCGGACATCTATGTCACCCAGCTTCACGTGGGCCCCTCGGCCATCGTGGTGACACCGGGCCCGGATGACGTTCTCTCCCGGGCTCCCGAGGGCTGCATTGCGGTGCACGTCCTCTCATTATCCATGGGGCTCCGCTTCCCCCTGCACCCCTTCCTCCGAGAGTATCTTCGGTTCGTTGGCCTGGTTCCCTGCCAGCTGACCCCGAACAGCCATTCTTATATCACTGGCTTCCTTCAGCTCTGTAAGTCCCGGGGGGTGACGCCTAGCCTGGATCTCTTCTTCCAGTGCTTCAACCTGTGCCGGGGGAGGCACGCGAATGCCGAGGGATTCGCTAATCTGCAGCAGGTATCCGTGTTCAAACTCTTCACCGAGGCGCCCTCCTCGAACAAGGGGTGGAAGGACCGGTGGTGCTATGTGAAGCTAGCCGAGAGCCCCTTCCCGAGGGAACTGCGTGACCGCTTCAGGAGGCACGAGAAGAGGAGGAGCGCCGCCCTCGAGAAAGACGGCAGGACTCTGGCCATGATCCCGGAGGGCCGGGACAAGAATATCTCCATCAAGGACTGCACCAAAGAAGCAGATCTCTACACCCTCGGGTTCCGGCGGTACCGGTTCCTGGGGGAAACTGATGAGAAGTTCCCAGTGTTTGAGGGAGCCTCCGGAGGTAGTAGCTGAGGGCATTCTCACCCTCATCTTAGCACGTTTGTCCATTTGTTTTGTTAATCCTTTATGCCACTTAATAGTGACCCCTCGATCCTAACCCCTTATTATTATTTTTTTGCAGGTGTTCCAGTAAGTATGATGAACGTCAAAGGCCTCGCCCGATTCAAGAACAAACCGGCCAAGGATCCGAAGGGGCCGGACGCAGGTGGCCAAAAGCCCGTCGGTGCGCCTCTCAAAAAGCCCGAGGGCGATGCTGCTGCGGCTAAGAGAAAGCCGTCGGCAAAGGAGCCCCCCCAAGCCCCTAAAAAGTTAAAGAAGGGGGATGCCGCGAAGGATGACCCCCCGGTGGTGATTATAGATGACCCTCCGGTGATGCCGACGGCGCAGGTGCCGGGGGTGGTCCGGGAGCCATCTCTCGAGGTCCTCACGCTCTCCCTCCCGGCTGGTACGGCCGTGTTGAATGGCACGGCCGACCCGAGGGCGCTCCTGAAGGGTATAACCCTCGATATTGACAGGGCAGCTCTCGGGGCTGATGATGATCAAGCCCTTGAAGACAGGATCCTCCGGTCTTCCCTCACGGTGAGTTCACTGTAGTTTGTCTTTTTGTTTCCCACTTTGAACTGAGAAATCACGTTTGGCCCTGACAACCCGCTTATCTTTGCAGACTTGCGTTGCCCTCGGGGAGCAGTTCCGACGGCTGGAGGAATGGCGCATCCTCAAAGCTAAGCAAGAAGCCAAGATGAAGGAGCTGATCCTTAGGGACTCCCAAGCCACGAAGCTGATGGCCCAGCTTGAGGAGGACCTCCGGCTGGCGAGGGCGGTGTCCGAGAGGCTCAGGGGGAGAAGGCAGAAGCTGAGGCGGCCGCTGCGGAGGCCGCAAGGAGAGCAGCCGAGGAGGCCGAGGCCATCAAGGCGAAAGCTGTCGCCACAGCCCGGGAGGAGGCCATCTCCGGGTTCCTGGA